AAAGAGAGGGAGATGACCACGAAGGCCAAAAGAATGAAGTTGAGATAGGATATGATAACGCCAAGTGGTGTCGTAAGCCTTTTCTAGGTCAAAAAGGACGGCAACAACGGAGGTCTTCGCAGCAAAAGCAGTACGAATATAGACCTCCAAGTTCACCAGGACATCTGTCGTGCTGCGGCACTTGCGGAAACCAAATTGAGAAGGGGAGAGGAGGTGATGGTGTTCCAGGAACCACATCAGACGAACGTTAACCATACGTTCAAAGAGTTTGCAGACACAACTTGTGAGAGCAATAGGGCGAAAGTCCTTAGGGGAAGTACCCAGAGACCCGGTTTGCGAACAGGGAGGACAACGGCATCGAGCCAGTCCTCAGGGACTGACGACGACTCCCAGATCCGATTATACAGACTCAGTAAATACCGAGACGTGCTCGGAGGGAGATGGCGAAGCATCTCATAATGAATACCATCGGAGCCCGCCGCCGTAGAACCGCAGAGGGCCAGGGCAGAACGAAGTTCAGAGAGAGAGAAGGGATCATTATAGGGAAGCTGAAGATGAGTGCAGAAATCTAAAGGACGAGACTCAAGGACAGGTTTACGAAGAAGGAAAGATTGGGAAGATGAAGACCAGAGCTAACAGAAGAAAAGTGGGAACCCAGTTCGGAAGCGACCTGCAACGGGTCCGCCACAAGAGTATCATGGAGGTGAAGGACCGGCGAAACATCGGGAACGAACTTACCCGCTATCTTGCGGATACGCTTCCAGATCTGGGCCAGAGGGGTTTCGGACGTAATTGTTGAGACATAAGATGCCCAACATTCACGTTTAGCCGTACGGATGGCCCTACGGGCCACCGCACTCGCTTTCCGAAAGAAAAGAAAAGAATCGGTCGTCTGCCTACGGCGGTGCTTCTTCCAGGCTGCACGCTTACAGCGGACAGCCCGAGCACAGTCCGCATTCCACCAGGGAACGCACTTCCGTGGACCCCGAGAGGAAGAGCGAGGAATAGAGCGGAGGGCAGCGTCGAAGACAGTGTCATGAAAAAGGAGGAGAGCGCGAGAGAGAGGGCAGAAGGGAGAGGTCAGAGAGAGTAGCACTGAGGGAAAATAGGGTCCAGTCCGCCTTAGCAAACTGCCACCTAGGGAAAGAGAGGGAAGGGCGAAAAGAGAAAAAGGAAACAAGGATGGGGAAATGATCACTTCCATGGAGGTCATCAAGAACCTGCCACGTGAAATCTAAGTAAAGAGAAGAAGAGCAGAGAGAAAGATCAAGACAAGAAAGGGTGCGAGTTCGAGAGTCCAAATGAGTGGGCTCACCAGAATTCAGAAGAGACAGGGAAGAAGAGAGGAGAAACGGCTCAAGGAGGCGACCCCGGGTATTCGTCAGAACGTCACCCCAAAGAGAATGACGACAATTGAAGTCACCCAGCAGGAGCACAGGCTCCGGCAAGGAGTCTAGGAGGTGTTTCAAATCAGGAAGAGAGAGCGGGACACTCGGGGGGAGATAAATGGAACAAACTGTGTACCATTTCCCCACAAAGATACGAGCAGCAGAACAATGGAGAGGCGAAGGAAAAAGTAAAGGAACAAAGGGAACATCAGCCCGAATCAAGAGAGCAGAAGAATTAGAAGCCCCAGCAATGGCTGGGGGGGGGGGAGAGAAAGGAATAGCCACGAAAACGACCAGGACGAGCACCAAGCATTGGCTCCTGGAGACAGACACAAAGGGGCGAAAACCGCGAAACCAGAAGTTGGAGTTCGAGGAAATTGGCATAATAACCTCGAACGTTCCATTGAAGAATGGACAACGACGAGAAGAGAAAGGACAAAAACAGAGAACAAGGAAGAAACAAAGGCGAAAGACCAACAGAGCACGTTAAAGAATATCAGGGTCGGGATCAGGGTCAGCAAAGTCAGGGTTAGGGGGCATGGGTAAACTGAGCAAAGACGGAGGGAAGGAAATGGGAGAACAGATCAGAGGTGGGCGGGCAGGGTCCGGAGGAGGAGGAGGAGGAGGAGACAACGGAGAGGAGCAGTCAAGGACAGCAGCAGGAAGAGGGGGAGTAGAAAGAGGGGAACGCACCCCAGCAAGAGCAGCAACTGAAAGGGAAGCAGGGGCCAAAGAAACCTCCATAGCAGGAACAGGGGGCGCAAGCACGGGAGGGGAAGGAGCAACAGAGCCAGAAGGAAGAGCTGAGGAAGAAAGCGAAGCCTTCTTACCCGCCGGGGAAGAGGAAGGAGAGGAGCCAGGCTTACGCTTCTGACTTAAAGAGACCGGTGTCCCAGCAACTACGTACCGGGCAACGGATTCCAGTGTCTCAACAGGAGAAGCCGAACGAGAGCACACACGACGGCCGTTAGGAGAGCGATGGACATCCGCCTGCACCGACAGGCGGTGGGGAGAGCCGATAGATGGAGGAAGAGGATGGGAAGGAGGATCGGAGGGGGACGAGGAAGAAGACACAGAAGACACGACAGACCGGGTAGAAGGAAGGGGAACCCCAGACAGAGGACCAGGAGGAGGATCCTTCGGGAGAGAACCCAAAGGGACAGAGGAGGGGGCAGTGGGCGCATCAGGGTCCAAGGCCCGGAAACGGTTGTGAGTCTGAGGAAGGCGGGAAGGACGAGGAGAGGAAGAGCGCAACACGCGAGCATAAGAGATATTAGCATAAGGCGGGAGCCGGCGAACCTGGCGCCTCGCCTCAGGAAAAGATAAACGCTCCCGGTGCTTCAAGTTGAGGACGGCTGCCTCAAGCTTGTAATGGACACACGCACGGGAGAAGGTAGGATGGGCCTCACCGCAGTTGAGGCAACGAGCCTGGGGAGAAGCGCACTCCGACTTAGAGTGACCTTCGCCACCACACAAAGGACAGAGAGAGACAGTCCCGGAGCAGCGGAGGGCACCATGCCCAAACCTCCAGCACTTGTTGCAGAGCCGAGGAGAAGGAATGTACTCCTGGACAGAGCACCTGGCACCAGCAAGAATGACAGAGGGTGGAAGTGTCCTACCATCAAAGGTAATCTTCACAACCCGGAGGGGTTGACGGCGACTACCACGAGGGGGACGAGTAAACGTGTCCACCTGGAGAATAGAATGGCCCTGGGCAGCGAGGATATGTCGAATATCATCGTGGCAGTCGCGCAGGTCCCGAACACCGGTCGCAACATGGGGCGGGAGCAAAATAGTGCCAACACTGGCATTCAACTGAGCGTTCTTCGAGACCCGAACGGGGGTCTCGCCAAGGCAGGATAAGGCAGCCAAGCGGGAAGCAGCATCCTGAGAAGGAGCAGCAACGACACGTGTACCGAGACGAGTGGGGTTGAAAGTAATGGAGGCATCCACGGAATCAATGAGATGTCGATGGAGGGAGAAATCGTCAGGAGGCGCAGAATCAAGAGGGAGGAGATCAAAATATTTGGCCCACGAAGCGGGACCAAACAAGGCTTGATAGGTAGCAGAACTGGAAGGAATCGAGCGAGGGCGGCCGTGACGAGGACGGCGGTGAGAACCCCCAGAGAGAGAGGGGTTAAAAGGCACAGTAGTTACAACTAGAGAAGGAGCCGCGCCAGGGGACGAGGTAGTCACCACTGGGGGCTTGGGGCTCGACCCAACCACAGAGGAGGGAGGGGAGCCAGAGGAAGGAGTCAGAGAGGCCAAAGGAGGAGCAAGGTCGGGGCCCAATGCAGCGGAGGCTACAGAGCCCGGTCTTCCAATACGGACCGACTCGGGGGCTTGGTCGCCCACCCCACGAGCCTGAGAAGGTAAACCGGAAGAAGCCGAAACAGGGGTAATCATCTTGACGAAAAAGAAGAATTCACCCCACACCCCCCCATGTGAATGTGAATGTGCCCCCACACCCACCATGGAGCCACAATTAGAGGCAGGACACCCAACAAGAAGCTATCGCCGATCTTGTCGGGGCCTCCTAGGGGTGCGTCGCGAGTATACGCCCCACAAACGCCACCTTAAGAAACCGACAGTCCGTCGAGATCGGGTTCAGTGACGAAGTGGGGATTGACAATAAAAGGTTCCCCTCGCTCTCGACGTCGGGTACTGCAGTTCTACGGGTGCATGAGTATGCCTCCTCAAGCACCCGGGCGTCAAAATAGAAGTAGTCCAAGGGAAGAACCAGAACGAGCAAAAGGTCGGCAGGAAACGGCAAGCAGATAGGAGAAGAGGGGGGAGAAAAACGAAACAGAAGGAAAAGGAAAAGATGCCCAGCAGAATTGGAGAGGACGGCAGCAGGAGCACAAGGCTAGAACAGGACAGAGGACTTCTTGAGGTTATCTTGAGATGATTTCGGGGCTTTTTAGTGTCCCCGCGGCCCGGTCCTCGACCAGGCCTCCACCCCCAGGAAGCAGCCCGTGACAGCTGACTAACACCCAGGTACCTATTTTACTGCTAGGTAACAGGGGCATAGGGTGAAAGAAACTCTGCCCATTGTTTCTCGCCGGTGCCTGGGATCGAACCCAGGACCACAGGATCACAAGTCCAGCGTGCTGTCCGCTCGGCCGACCGGCTCCCCAAGGAGCATCACACTCCGGCAGCCGCCCACTAAGCCCCCACACGGCGACAACGAGCTGAGCGGGGAGGGGGGGTAGTTTGGTGAGACAGGGGACGGTAAGCGTTCTCCTGAGAATTACTTACTAGTTTTGAAAATTGTTTCGTGAATTCGCCAGTGCGGCTCGCGGTTGTCGAACTAGTTAGCAAGGATTTATTGGGAGCTCTATAGTTATAGGTTGCATGATAATTGTCTTATTCATTTATGTAGATAATGGTAAATAGGAATGTTCGGCACATTTAAAAATGGGAATTACCCATTATGAGTATAGCTGGTGATAATTTAAATGTGAATGGAATTTTATGATAGTCAACTGTTTTTGTCATCGTTCACCAAAATTGGACGTGATCAAATTAATCTGCCTCATCAGGCAGTCAACAGAGTCTGGTGTCATTTGGCCACACTGAAAAAGCTTATATCCAAAACGGCTTATGACTTACAATCATTATTCATGAAGTGTTTGACGAAACTGTCGAAGCTGCCAGTGAAGCTAAAGAGCTTCATCACACGGAAGAAATAGTACAGTGACACCACCACGTCCTTGGGGCTCCTAGCCACGTAGACCACCTGAACAATGGGGGTAAATGTTAATATTGATCATGTAACGTACCTGAAAAACTCTTCTTTTCCCTCACACATCGCCACCAGCAATGACTGATGAATCTAATCTTACCGTGATGACAGGCTCCATGGATGGTTTAACACAAACGGATCAAGCTGGAGAAAAGGCCAGCTGTAGTATTGACCTTTATGTTGACGACACCATAGTCTGAAAATGGTGAGGCCTAATATATCCCTAACATGGAAAGACCATCAACTTATTGGTTCTAACATATGACGAGTTGTATTGTAAGAAGTTATGAAAATAAAACAATAAGGCAAAACTGCTGTATAACCTGACTGTTATATATTATTCAAGAGGTATCAGATATAATTGTTTATGTTAATACGGGAGCTGAGAGACATAACACAAGTATTGTTAAAGATATCAGATTCATTAAGGATTTTGTCTATGGTTATATGTGTAAGGAACAGTCGGATACACACTTTTCTATTCAATTAAGTGTCCGTTACTTACTCACGTGAAGCCTATACATAATCTAGCCACCTATGTATGCAGGGATTCCAAATAGTGTTATGAATGAGAGTGTAGAAACTCGAGTATGGAATTCGCGTCTAGGAAAAAGGACAGGCACAAATGGCCGCTTTAGTGGTGACAAATCCAGCAAAATTTAATTGTCCTATGTCTTCTAATCCAAGCCCGTCCTTCTAATAGAACGTCGCATTTTGACGTATACTTTACCTTAGGCCAAAAACCAACTGTCGTTGTAGAAAATGACAGCAACTCATGAAATTGACAACGTTGCGTTTTCCTGTTCGTGGGTCCTGTGGTAGGTTATTATAAGGAACTTTAGTACGACAGTTTCTTGACGTTGGGAACGCTCGCGAGAACGGACTGGCTAAACAAGACGAACAACCAATGTTGAATTCTCTTTATGAGAGTATGGGATAATTTCCAGTCCGAGGGCCACGAGAGCACTGCAGTGGTCTATGATAATTATAAACGAACACAAAACTGCTTATCACTGGGGGAAGGTGATATAAAACGTTGTACCAGAAAAATAACTGGGAAGCCAATGCCATCAGCTGGGGGAGCGGGCCTTGTAGCCTGGTGGATAGCGCGCAGGACTCGTAATTCTGTGGCGCGGGTTCGATTCCCGCACGAGGCAGAAACAAATGGGCAAAGTTTCTTTCACCCTGAATGCCCCTGTTACCTAGCAGTAAATAGGTACCTGGGAGTTAAGTCAGGTGTCACGGGCTGCTTCCTGGGGGTGGAGGCCTGGTCGAGGACCGGGCCGCGGGGACACTAAAGCCCCGAAATCATCTCAAGATAACCTCAAGATAAGAAGCTGACCTTGACCCATTCCTAGGCAGAGCAGTAGCATGTGATTGGCAGAGAAAATTGTCAAGGGACACGTGGCTTGAGGACAGTGAGTGGATATAAGCATTTACCTTACAGATTCAGACTTTTGGGAATTAAACAAGTCTTTCCCTTCCAGAGGGGTAAGGTAGGCACGATGCGAGGGCACACATTGAGCTCGGGCACAGAGAGATAAGAATGAAAGTGGGTAATCATTGCAGTAAAATACACAATGAGGGCATTGGTCACAACGTGGTACAAGATGAATAAAGGCTCTGAATGGTTTCTGCAAAGTATCGAAGGCAATGCTGTTAGTAGTGGTCTTGTAACGACGGAACTCCATATAAACTCAGAGTTGTGGAAGAGTGACTGGCGCCAGCTCTAGTCAGTGTCCATCTTATAGTGATCTCATAACACAGTCACCATCTCTCCTCTCTTAACTTTGGTTTTCGCAAGTGTCGCAGCCCGACTGATGTCTTAGTGGAGTTGGAGGTCTACAGTCGTTCTACCTGTGCCACAAACACCTCCTGGTTGGTGTTCTTTTTGACTTGGAAAAGGTTTATAACGACACCTAGAGGCCCAATAATGTCTCGGCTTCATTATTTTGGCCTTCGTGGCTCTTTCCCTCACCCTCCATTCCTGGCGTCCTCTCTCGGCGCTTATTTAAAGTGAGACTTAGTGTCACCTTCTCTGTCTCTTTCACCATTTCGAAGGTGTTCGTCAGGGTTCTGAATACTACTATTTCTCCCTTTGCTCTCAATTGTCTGATCTCACACTCCTGTCAAGGTGCTGACTCTCCTCTCCTCCCACCCGGCTCCAACTTGTGATTGATGCCGTGTCGTGCTGGGCCATCAATCATGGCTTCGCGTTCTCTGGGTCTAAGACCTGTGCTGGGACTTTTTATTGGGAAGCAGGTCGTTCTTCGTCCCCACATTGTCGCTCTGAGTAGTCCCCTTCTGTATTATGATTCTGCTAAACGTTTGGGATTGATTTTTGACATTTGCTTGTCTTGGTCGTCCCATATCTCTTACCTCTGAGTCAAATGCTCAAACGCTTTTACATTTCTTCGAATACATAGAGAAATCACAGTAACGTCATATATATCAATGAGAAAACCCACAGGAGCCATGATGAGAATTCGAACTTATGCGCTGGATATTCCCAGACACACACTTTAGACGGCTAGGCCATGACATGGTCAAAAGAATTGCAACCTGGGATTCTGCAGAACCCACGAGGATTCTCGAGGCTTCCACTGAAGCCGAACCAGGATTTCACACAATTCCTCCATTGTGTGAATTGTTAACTGCTATTCCGATGTGAAGGCTATAGTGCCATTGTGCTGACTCTTGCAGTGCTCTCGTGGTTCTGGAGTCTTAATCCTATACATCCTGTGGTCGTCGAAATCCAATATTGGCCGTCCCTTATCACTAGTAGGTTTAGGCAGTGGGGTTATGCTGGGTTCCCAGACTTATTGGTGTTACCTTAAGTGAGCGAGCGGATGCTGACGCTAAGGGGGCATTACCCACGTGTCCGATTTCATTAAACGGTGTTCTTTCTTCAGATTACGACCCAGTCATTCATCGATCCCAATACCGTTGGCAGAGTCGTTGGTCTTGTGTTACAGGTAACAAACTGTGTTAGCTGTAACACAGCTTGTTCACCGGTACAGCAGCATGGCAATGTACCTGTGTGCTCGTACAGACACTAGTAGCATGGCACTTGTATCATGGCCGAAGCCAGCAAGCATGTTGCTGAAATGGTCAAGTAATTATATGCTATATTATAACCCAGTTGATGCCCAAGTGTTACAGACTTACCTTGGCCTGGTCGAGGAGATCAGAAGGCAGCAAGGAGAGAGGAAGATGGCTCTTGATCACTCTGGGGTCTGAGATCAACTCGCACATCTGGAAAGCCATACCATCTTCCAACTTCCTCCCTGGACAAGTGTCTTGGAAGGCCTTCATGAAGTGGTCAATGCTCACACCTTCTAGGCCTTTACCATCAAGAATCATATCCAAGCTGAAGAGTCAAGGAAGAAACGTGAAGCATAAACCACTGGCAGCACTTTAGATCAACTCTAGATATTCTTTGTGTGAGGCAGAAATGATTTTAAACATCTATATTAACCCGACTCCATCAATATCTTTTTTCTCTTGCAAATATGTTTGTTTAATAAATTATGATTTGGTGTATGATGATTTTAAATTTTATATATATATATATATATATATATATATATATATATATATATATATATATATATATGCGAACAAGCCTGAATGGTCCCCAGGACTATATGCAACTGAAAACTCACACCCCAGAAGTGACTCAAGCCCATACTGCCAGGAGCACAATGCAACTGGTGTGTACAGGATACCTTATCCACTCAACCATCACGACCGGACAAAAGCTGATGGTAGCCGAGGCTATTTGCCCATCAGCCCGCCGGCACTACGATGGTAATCTTGGGCTTAGTATTTTATCAAATCGCCTCATTCTTTGGGGCACACGTGAGGAACACAAATACAAACAAGCCTGAATGGTCACCAGGACTATATGCAACTGAAAACTCACACCCCAGAAGTGACTCGAACCCATACTGATGGTCGAGTGGATATGGTGTCCTGTACACACCAGTTGTATTGTGCTCCTGGCAGTATGTGCTCGAGTCACTTCTGGGGTGTGAGTTTTCAGTTGTATATAGTCCTGGGGACCATTCAGGCTTGTTTGTATTTGTGTTCCTCACGTGTGCCCCAAAGAATGAGGCGATTTGATAAATATATATTTATCGGCATTGGCATATTATATATATAATATAATTATATATATATATATATATATATATATATATATATATATATATATATATATATATATATATATATATATATATATATATATATGCGAACAAGCCTGAATGGTCCCCAGGACAATTTGCAACTGAAAACTCACACCCAGAAGTGACTCGAACCCATACTCCCAGGAGCAACGCAACTGGTATGTACAAGACGCCTTAATCCACTTGTTCGCATTTGTGCGAACACTTGTTCGCATTTGTGCGAACACTTGTTCGCATTTGTGTTCCTCACGTGTGCCCCAAAGAATGAGGTGATTTGGTAAAATGCTATGCCCAAGATTACTATCCGAGTGCCGGCAGTGGGGTGGTTCAAATAGCCTCGGCTATCACCTCATTATGTCCGGTCGTGATGGTCACGTGGATTAAGGCGTCTTGTACATACCAGTTGCGTTGCTCCTGGGAGTATGCTTTCTGGTTCGAGTCACTTCTGGGGTGTGAGTTTTCAGTTATATATATATATATATATATATAACTATATATATATATATATATATATTTCTGGGTTCGAGTCCCATATATCTTCATATATATATATATATATATATATATATATATATATATATATGCCAATGTCAGACCACAGAGGAAAATTGAAACAGAAATTTCCTTAAGTACTTTCGTATATTAATACCTCTTCAGAAGGAGTGATTTTACAGGTCAAGTATTGGACATAAATAGGCAGGAGAGAATAGTGGAGTGAGGTGAGGTACAATAACAAATGAATGGGAATTTGGTGGACACAAATATGAGCCGTACAAGAAATGCTGAAGGCCTATTGGCTCATACGATGCAGCTCCTATCCCTACCCACCAACAGGCCCACACATGGATTATAATAGCATAAGATAGTAAATATTTACAATGAATTAGTGAGACAAATGTGTTCCAATGATCCTACTCAAATCGCCCTTTAATTGATCTATCAAAAATGGATCCAAGTTATATAAATCATTGCTAATGTTCAAATTACTTTCTTTAGTAATCTGTATCAAAGCAGATTCAATTATGTTTCTGTTATAGGTGCTTTTACAATTTGTTATTGAAGAAGCCATCTCCCAATCAATTTGGTGAGCATCTTCTGACAGATGAACAAACAAAGCAGTAGACAATTGGCCATGTCTTAGAGTATTTATGTTGCGAAATTCTACATTTCAAATCTTTAGATGTTTGTCCAACATATAACTTATTACAGTCTTTACAAGGTATTTTATAAATGACAATTATCACTACGAGGGCTGTTTCTAACTAATAGCTTACCAACAGTATTTTCGTAGCTAAACAATACATGTATATTAAAGAGTTTCAAGGCCTTAACAATAATTTCAAACCCAGAGAAATATGGTAAACATAACACATTCTTTGGGCGAATTTTTTCATTGCCTATATTTTAATATGTACGACGTGATTTGCTACGGCAAACTTCCAAAAAACTCAGTGGGTAAAAAATCTTGAGACCAATCGAATCAATATTTTTAAAAACTCTTCATCTAAGAATTCTGGACTTACAAACTCGAAGAGCTCTTAGATACATTGAAGAAAAAATTGACTTTTTCACATTTTATCTATGCCCTGAAAAATAATGAACATAAGATAAATTATTCGTAGGTTTTCTGTAGACACTAAACTTTAGTGAAAAATATTCCCTATGAATAAGTATATTTAGGAATGGCAAACATTTATCAATTTCAGTCTCCATAGTAAATTTTATACAGGTGACTGAAAGAGGTGACTATAGAGACTGAAATTGATAAATGTTTGCCATTCCTAGATGTAGACTGTTTTACAGGAACTTCTTTTCGACAACTCATAAAACGGAGGAAAGGGTCCTGAACGATATTGTTGAATAGGAACGTTATCCCTACAGACAAAAATCAGAAAATACAATTGACGATTTACTATAAAACCAAAAAAACGCCCAACCTACTCATGAAATACTCTCCAGACATAAAGCAGAACGCCTTGAAGGAAACCAACGTCGTCTATGCCTTTAAATGCCCACTTGGGGACTGTAAGCCCCAAAGAATTCAGTATATAGGCAAGACAACAACGTCTCTTTCCAGGCGATTAACAATGCATAAACAATAGGGCTCCACAAAGGAACATATAATCTTCTCTCACAACCAGACCATCACCACAGAAGTATTAACAAACATCACAGAAATTATCAAACGATACAGCGATAGCAGGCGGCTCGACACCTGCGAGGCACTACACAACAAAAAGTCAACACCAGCAATCAACAGCCAATTAATGCACAACTATAATCTACCCACTTCAAAACTCCGAACCAATATAGAAGCATCAAGAGGAAGTATGGGCTAATAGGCCCTCTGCAGTTACTTCCATTCTTATGCTCTCATATCCATTTAATACCCAATGTTCCGTGTTCTGTCTTGTATTTGTCACAAGTTTGTTCACCTCATCAAAAACAGTTGCACCATATCACCTCACCCAAATGCGAGTATAAATATGACGGATTAGCTGACTCTGTTTAGTGTTTACAGGTTACTGTTGTGTGTGTAAACTAAAGTTTTTGAAAATGAAGTCAAGACTACCAGGTAGCTGACACATGATGAAGTCAAGACTACCAGATACACTTTTCCTCCTGTTCACAATCTGATCAAATTCTATAGGAATTTTACAGGAAACGTTTGCATCCTAAGAACTCTGTTAAGATTTTGTTTTAAGGATTACATAGATCTCTAAAAGCTTCCGTTGACCAAGGAAGTCCAATAAGGTCTACGGCTGGTAAATTTGCTCTATAGTCTTCTGAAAAGTTTACATGAAAGTCTATGGTCTAAGATCCCATTAAATTCTATGGTCTATGATAGTTCCTGTGAAAGTCTTTAACCTAGAAAGTTTCTAAAGACTAAAAACTTCATTAACATCAGCAGCCTACGAAGTTTCCTTGAAGTCTATGGCCTAAAAGAACATTAAAATCTATGACCTACGAAGTTTTCTTGAAAGTCTATGGACTGTGAATTTCATGTGAAATGCTACGCCCTTATTAAATTCAATTAAAGTCAATGGGCTAAATCTCCCATTAAAGTCTACAGGCTACGAAGTTTCTGTGAAAGTTTACAAGCTAAAAACCCCATTAAAATCTATGTACTGCAAAGTTTTCATTAAAGTCTACGGCCTAAAACCAACATAAAGGTCTATGAACAATCCACAGGCGCTGTGAGGGTTCGAACCTATGCGCTGGGTGTTCCCAGGCACTAGTCTCTTATCGACTGGGCAACGACATCGTTAAAAGAACTGTAACTTGGGGTACAACTGTACTCACTGGAATTCCCTTCGAACCCTGTGGATTCTAAGATCCACGGATAATCATGGCTCCTGTGGATTTGTTTATTGATAAATCACGATAATGCGATTTCTGTGGGATACAAAAATTATGTACAGATCTACAGGAATTTTATACCATATCTCAGCCTTATAATCCCAACCTGCCTACCATAATCACATCACGTAAGATATGCAGAAAAATCAATGGGGGAATTTCCGTAAGTAAGTAATTATCAAAAGAAGGCACCAGACTGGGAAGGCTATGTAGCACCATCAAAGTGCGAAATAATTAGAGGGCGCTAAACATCAAGAATGCCAATACGAGAACAGAAACGCAAAAGGCGAACAATATCAAAAGTATCCGATTCACCAAGAATTCTATCGAGGAACAAGGGACTGCGAGGGACGGTCGGAAAGCAAGACACATGCACGTCCTGGAAGTCAGGACATTCAATAAGGATATGCACAACTGTATGAGAGACAAAGCAATTTGGACAATAAGGAGCAGGGCGGCGCTCCATTAAGTGACCGTGAGTTAAGCGAGTATGTCCAATCCGCAACCTTGCTAGAACAGTTTCCCTCCGCTGGTTACGGTGGCAGGAGGAAGACCACGGGGACACACTACGTTTGAGAGTACGCAGCTTGTTACCAACTACAGAAGACCAACAACCCTTCCAACAGGCAAGGATGGAGAAATAAATAACAGGATAAAAGTCGGAATAAGAAATACCTTTGCGGGAGATGGGACAAGAACGGATAGCTTCACAAGCGGCAGCATCCGCACGCTCATTTAAAGAAACACCAATATGGCTGGGAACCCAGCAAAACTCTACCGATTTAAATTTACTAGAAATACGAAACAGCCAATGTTGAAT